TTTCTTGTCTTGGCATCTTTCCATTCTGGTTTGTCAAAGTCAGAAAGCTCTATGTCACTGGTTGGTACAATGACACGACGCGAAGAGGTTGTCGCACATTGCTGACCTGGAGTGATGTCCTCAGCGGTATTCATGGGCAAGTCCTTGTCTTCTGATTCAGTGGCTGAGCTGCCACAGATGGAGGAAGACAAACTATACTGATCGGTGGAGACGTGATGACTCGAGTGTTGAGAGGGTGGCCCGGAAGACATAGCCAGGTCGATTACCGTGCACCGGGAAAAAGCCCGGTGCGGGAGACCACACCGTGGACAGGAGCAGTCAACTTACGAAGGTTATCTGGAGTTCCAACTATTCAGACCGACTGATAAGAGTAAAAATGTTAATTCAAGGGAGCGAGCTTGAAAAACGCAACCGTCTTCGAAACACTTCTTCTTCCTCCCCTAGGGGAGGAAGAATTCACACGACGCAATATGGGAGGGTGCATGCTCAGAACGAGCTCACATTAATTATTAGGCTACTAAGACCGACGACCTTGATGGTGTGGAATACACGTTGCCAAAGAACAGTGGAAGCACGCCGTCAGCACGCATGCAGTCGCGTACACAGCTATGGCCGCCAGTGAATGCCCCCTATATGCGTTTTCTGTTTCCTGCCGTTCTCAGTCACGTGGGTTCTATATCTGGTTTGCGGGACGAAAAAATGATCAAACATTTTAACCTGGAATCTGCGAGAAAATATAGGTGAGGCAAAACAAGAATCTGTGACAATCACGCATTTTTTCGTAAACTCCTTCCAGCGGCGCAGAGAGATTAAAATGATGTTTTACCGTATACCTACGTTATTAGATTACCTCAGTTGTGGAACTCCCGCCGAGGTGTTTAGACCTAAAAAGACAGATCTGCACTGTGGCACCGAGCACGGCGAAACGCAACGCTCGGTACACACAGCGCAAGACACACAGCATTGTCCTGTCGTGTTTGTTCCTCTTCGTAGCCCGTGTTTTTTTTAGCTGTTTTCCCCATCATGTATAACGTCAACCAACTGGCCCTGTTCACCACTTTATTACAGCGCAAGACTTATCTTTCTTGGATCTAAACGTATTTTCAGCATCGCCATTCGACCAGTTCCAGCTCCGTACAGATTACAGCGATTGGCTCTCAAAATTAATTAAGGGCCTTACGCGAAGGCATTCATATTTCTTAGGCCGCTGTCCCACCTCTAGTACATTGTACAAAAAGAAAAACACTTTCCTATGCGTCTTTCTTCTATGTGAAAATTCATGCCACATTGGTCATAAAAAAACTTCTATGCAGACGTATTCAAAGATGTAGGAAGCATATGCGTGCTTCGAAGATGCTTGGCGCGTGTCCGCAGTTACTCTTTTTTTTTTCTCATCATGTTTGCAGCGAAAACGGTGTCATTTTTACGATGTAGGAACTATAAGTGTGAGTGCCGCTTTAGTCTAAACGTGCAAGCTGCTGTGCTCCACCGGACCGGAGACACCTGGTACAAAACGCGTCTAATCTTGGTTGCCTGCCAGGGATTGCCGCATTGCCGCCCCCGAGTCGCTTCGAACAAAAGGAAGAGAGACGATGGAAGCGTCGGTCGGGCAGGCAGCGGCGACGTGAACCCCGCGCCCGAGAAGATTCAAGAACGAGGTCATCGTCACCGCCACCGTCGGCGCCGGCGATGAACCAGACAAGCAAAAAGCGCTGTCAGGAAAGAAGACGAGGGGAGCAAACAAAGAAAACGAAAAAAGGCCGTTCGGTATTCGGGTCCCGGGTCTAAAAACAAGATGAAAAAAAAAAAAAAAAAAGAGCTCCAGACCGCGGATAAACAAGCCGAGGGACCGTGCCCCGCTCCTGGCACTGTCAACCCGAAGACTCGTCCGCCACGCGCGGAACTTACTGCGAGGTCGGCGCGCTGCGAAGAAACAAACGGTGGCGCATGCAAACAACGGCATTTCAATTTATTTTATTTATTCTTATTATGTTTTATGCGTTTTCGTCAGTTCCTGCCTGGGCACGTCTTCGACGTTCGTGCCTCTGCCAGCTGGTACTTTGTGTTCGGAAAGGAGGGAGTCAATGTACCCTCTCGGAGAAGACAACTTTCGTGGGTTGCTCCCCCGCCGTCAAGAAAGTCAGCAAAAGAGTCGACCGACGTCTCGTACGTATACCGCTGGCACATGTCGGTTCCCGCTGCGCACTGTGAATCCCGTAACGACCGCTTGGCGTGGAAAAGTGCCACTTCTTTAATGCCCTTTAACCGTCACTCGTCGGCGTCACAACTTGCAAGGCTACGCCGAGATTAGGGCGACAAGTCACGCCAACAGGCGGGTTTTCTGTTGCCGTCTGTTAGGAACTGTAGAGTAACTGAATGTGCTCCGCTTGGGAAGCATTTTTAGTTGCTCTAAGTCACTGCAGGGAGCTGGGTAAGTCGCGCCGACAAAAGTGACGTTTTGTAACGACTCATGGCGGTCAGTCTAAAAGTAGACGCTGGATGATAAGTGTGATGGCTTGTAAGGCTAATGATGTGAAAAGCTCTCGACGTCAAACGTGAAGACACAAAGGGTTTTGCGAAGGCGTGGAAATCGTAGAACGTAACAGCTACTTGCAGGGGTACCCTCCTTCTGCTTGCCATTATAAATTGAAAATTATGCCTAATTCGGCTGTGCGCGTTGCATCAGCTGTTGTACAAAGCACTATAATGAGGTATATAGATAAAAATGAGTCGTACATTGCATCGCCCCGAATCAAGAAGCAAAGAAAAGAAAATGGTAGCAATAATATATAATAATAATAACAGTACGGCTAAAAAAAATAAAAAATAAATAAATAAAAATAAAAATAATAATAATAATAATAATAATAATAATAACAGTGCGGCTATTACTCGAATAAATACGATATATATATATATATATATATATATATATATATATATATATATATATATCGTATTTACTCGAGTAATAGCCGCACTGTTTATGAAGAAAACCTGAGGGTTCGTTTTTCCGTGGAGCACTCAGATTGCCAATCACCGCGATCAACACCATGACTCCAGCTGTTTACAGGACAGAGATAAAGTCTTCGTGCGAAGATCCCATATGTGAAGATTGCATTTGTAGGGAGAATCGTATTTCCGGCCTGGTTATTTGCTATGTTATTTATGCGCAACGCAATGATTGGCAGTATATCTGTTCTGTGGGAAGTAGACGCAATGGCCTTGTTCATAAATAGTGGGGCTATTACTTTCTCCCTCTCTATCTCTCTCTCTCTCTCTATTTATATATATATATATATATAACTGTGTGTGTGTGTACAGCGTGTACGTCCGTAATAAATAATATGACCGCTAATACGTTGAAGGTTCGTTTTGTTAAACGGTGACTTTGTAAATCTTCATTAACTGAACGGTGAACCTGTACTTTACTCTTCGAGAAAGGCATCGCATAATTCTCTTTTACAATTCAACATATACGCTGCCGCCGACTTTCCCCTTCACCCACTCACAACTGTGCACCGCGTTTCGCCTCTGGATGGACCGCACCAGATACCGCAAATTCATCGGAGCCAATGCAGCGCTTGGAACGTGCCACGTGGAATTCGGTCCGGCCGGAAGGTCCCTTCGCGTGATCCCAGCGCTGGATTCCCACCGCTGAACACGCTGCTTCCACTGCGGTCCAATTTTAGAACGAGACCATTTCGAAGTTTACAAATGTACAACCCAGCGTGTAATGTCCACAGCCCAACACGAGCGTGTTCGTCGCTCGATCAAAACACGGACCATACCCCGGAGGGTCAAAAATGGAACCAGCAAGGAACCCTTTATTAGCTAAGGGTCTATAGACTCTGCGTTATTTATGACTTTCCACCTGCATGTATATAGGCCACGGAGGTTTCGCATACGTTCCGCATCCCGAACTTGAAAAGGGGCGTACCCCCTTGAGACCTTAGAGCGGTCGCCGACGTTTCGCTATAGACTAAAGGGCCGCCCACACTAGCGAGAAAACGCGCCCGGCGCGCCGATAAATCGGTTAAGCGGGAAGATAAAGGGCGTGTCTCTGCACGCGCTCGTGGCGCTGACTGTGCTTCGGCGACATTTTTTACTTGCCGCGATCGGCGTGCCACGCGCGTTTTCTCGCTAGTGTGGGCGGCCCTTTAGCCTCCAAGGGATTAAAAAGCTAAACGAACCACGTTCGGCTGCAACTCTGAAAGCTCCTAGCTGGAGGTTCCTGTTCGAGTTCTTCCTTTTCTGCTATACTTTCATGATATTGTAGAGCCGATTCCAGAGTTGTCTTGGAAGACGTTCGAATGTTGGCGCAACGTAAATTAAATTACCTTTCTTTCTCGTCAGTAGACATTTCGGAGTTATTTAATCTGCAGCTTCCCAAACTTGGCACCACTACCACATACAGACGGACCAATGTGCGCAGTAAAGTAGCTTTAACGCGCAGGAGGCAAGTCAAAGGACACAGAAGTCAACTATATGAATCTCTTGCAAAGGTCGTATACGTCTGTCAGCAATGATGAGTATAACCAGGTCGTGGACCCGTTCTGTCAAACCAAATTCTCTTTCGCTTCCTCTCTCTCTCTCTCTCTCTCTTTTATGAACGACAACGTGTTGTTTTGCTTCACACTTCATTACTCATAGCCCCACATTCTGGCAGGTGAGAGACATTCCATCAATCTGTATACGCGGAGCGTTTCGACAGGGTTGACTCAAGCGAACACAGCATCCTCGGGGGAGAAGAACGGGTTTGCGCAATGCGGCAGATCTCCGTACGGACTCAGCTGAGCGTATCACGCACCGTTTGAGACGGTGGGCGACAGGAAGGCTACAAACGCGCCAAGACCGTTCCAACGAGATAACAAAACAAAGCAAAAGATACTTAGAATGCGCACCACCTGAACGTCTCGCGCGTCCCCCTCCCCCTGCGCGGCGCTAGTGGGCCAACGGCGCGGTTTATAAATAAACGACAACACCGAGCACGCGAGTCAAGCCAGCGGAGGTTTGCGGCGCGGCCAAGCAACTTGACTCCCTCATCGCGCATTTCCAGGAGAGGATGTCAAGAAGAGAGCGGGCTCTTCTCGTAAAGGGACGACACGGTTGTAGACCAGCGCCAGCCCCGAGAGCAGATGGCACAGGACACTAAGGCCACGTCCGAACTCATCGTGCCGGTCAACTTCGTCACGGAATGGCGCACCCCAGCTGGCCTGGACGTCAAAGTGGACACCGTCCAGACGCGCTTCGACACGTTCCGCATCGTGGATGACTGCGCCGACCTGGACCAGGAGTGGGTCGACTTCGCGAGGGATCATCCGGACTGCGCCGAGGCCGATGGCGATGGCCTGATGATGGCCTTCCTCGATCCGGAGTTTGAGGCGTTCCGGAAGCTACCAGAAGGCGGATTCGGAGTTCACCTAGATCTGGGGTGTTATAGGCCCGAAGGAGTGACCGTCAAGGTGCGCGAAGGGTCGGTGCTTGTGACGGCAAGTGACCAGGAGAGGACTTCTGTGGACGTGGACGGCGTGGCGTCGAAGAAGTGGAGGAAGTTTGAGCGGAGATTCAAGCTTCCCGAGGGCGTGATGCCCGAGTGGGTGGCGACCGAGCTCAGGCCGGACGGCTGGCTAAAGATATCGGCTCCCGTGCAGGAACTTGGAAGGAGGTCCAGTGCGCCCGGGAGGACAACCGGCAGGTCCTGGAGTGGCTCTGAAGGCACGGGGATCGAGACGGACGATTCAAAGAGTTCCATCGTGGATAGGTGATTAAGGTGACCATGACAGAGACGTTGTACGGTGGTGTACCAAAGTGTTTTTGAAGTGTTGTAGGTTGTACTCCTGTGCCGAGTTCGGTGTGACAGGGTTGGAGACAGACGCTTTCAACAATTGACGTTGTGGACAGTGGATATATACTATAAGTGTCTGAAATGCCGACGCTCGATCTATAATGGACTGTAAAAATTGGCGTCTGCACGTAGCGTACTGAACCTTTCTTCAAAGGTGTATTTCACAGGTGGGTTTTACGTTTTACCTTGTAAAATTACAAGGCGTAGCTCCCTTTCTGTAAATAAATAGGGACAAAAAAACTTGCCAGGGTCAACGACGGACGGCGACGCAGACGACCGAGTGGAGTTGCGTGGCGCGTTTAGCGCATGTATTGATAGATGGCGTCAGAAGCAGCGTCGTAACTTTACGTCGGAAGGTGTAGCCGACCAGCGAAAGAAAGCAGATGACACTCAGACGATATCTGTCGGCAACAAGAGCGCCGTCGTTAAGCGAACGCGTTGTTTTAACTTTAAGCTTTGATTTTTTTGTCCGCACTTATTTCTAAACCAAAGGTACATTACGAAAAGATTATGTTCAATTTAATCAACCAAAGTGTCTTCCGAACAGTCTCGATAAGGAAGTAGCGCCATCTATCAATACGTGCCACAAACGCACCCCGCCACTCGACTTGGTCGTCTGTGTTCCCGCCCACTGTTAACCCCGGCAAGTTTTTTTTTTTTTTTTTTTTTTTTTTTTTAGAGAAAGAAAACTACGCATTGTAATTTTGAAAAGGTAAAACCCACCTACGAAACACACCTTTGACGGAAGGTTTAGATTGCTACCGTGCAGGCGCCAATTTTTACGACTCATTTTAGATCTAGTCTCGTCATTTCAAACACCCTATTTATTATTAAGGTGACAGTGACAGAGACGCTGTAAGATCGTATATCAGGGTGTGGCACCTGTCCGGATGTTTCGAAAGGTTCCATTGTGGATAGGTGATGAAAATGACCGTAGCAAAGATGAAGTACGGTGTATACAGAAGTGCTGTGAATTTTTGTGCTTTGTATATCGTCTTGCTTACACAGGATGTTTCTTTTTAAGCTTAACAGATTTGTTTTTTAAGTAAAGATACATTAATGCGGTGATAATGTAGTGATTGCGCAGGCGAGCTGGTGGATGTTAACCATTTTGTTCTTAGCCCGAGACTGAGGCAGGAAAAGAGGGAACCTCGTTTCCTGCCTCAGTCTCGGGCTAAGAACAAAATGGTTAATACGGTGTATGCAGGTGAGTTATACGGCCAGAGGCACATTGATAGGGGCTAATCATTACGATCAGTCGGATAATGAACTAGAATAGGTTCATTAACTTTGGAATTAATGAAAATAAACACATAGTTCTAATCAGAACATTTCTGAGCGTCATCAAAATTACTGAATCAGTCAAAAGGGAGCTTTAGACTAGGAGGCCGCCACGCTCAGGGACCCCTAAGCCATAGGGAGACACGATCGCAGCGATACTCGCACTGCTGGCATATGCTTGTGCTTCTTGCTTGCAGCGCCAATACGGCTAACAAACAAAATTAATAGAGGGGCTGCTTTCGTCACAGGTAATGGGTAAGGTAAAACCAAATCTACCCGTCTTTTAAACAGTCATTGAACGTTTGTAGTCAAGGCCAAATCAACACAATTTCGTTCTTTTTTTCTTTTTTTACGAAGCCCTTTTTTTTTCTTTCTGAGTGCCGGATTAAGGTATTTTTGGGCCCTGTGCAAAGGCTGTTATGAGGCTCCTACTGATGGAGATAATAATGACCAAAGTGACGATGATGGTGGTGGAGGTAACGAGGACGATGCCAATATGTATATTTTACCATCTTGCGGAGTCGATATTTCTCAAATTATAATTTATTCAAGCCTTTTCTCGATTTATAGATTCAATGGAAATCAAGTTTTCTTTGCTGATAATGGGGCGGAGTTGATTGTTAATAATAAACTGCTTCGCAAATAATCACCCGCACTTTATAGTGTAATTATTTAGGTAGCAAACTCATTTCAATAACATATCAGGGAAATCATAGGCGTAGACACAACCCGTCTCGACGCGCGCGCGCGCGCGCGTCGAGACCGGCCGTGGCGTAGACTACGCGGGGGGGGGGGGGGGGGGGGGGGGGGGGGGCATTTGGGTTCGTGCCCCCCCTGGTGAGATCCGAAGGGGTAGAGCCCCTCCCCCCCGGACCGGGCCATATGATCCTTACCGAGACGCTGTTTACGTGCCATGTAACGAGTTTCTAGTAGTGACATATGTAAACAAAATAATGCCCACGTTGCTTTTATTGACAAAATACTTGGGAAATGGAATCCCAGCGTACTTTCGGGGGGGCTTTTTTGCTTGTGCGAAAAAGCCCCCCCCCCCCCCCCCCCCCCCTCCCCTCCTCCACCGGACAACTTCTCAGTCTGCCTCCCCTTGGGAAAATGGAAAGTCTACGCCGCTGGGGGAAATATTCAGATGTTTCATTCACATTTAGCAGCTTCATAAATATAACTAAAGAGCTTTCCTTCTCTGAATGGCTGGAAGTGGTTCAAATACCACTTTATCTAAATAATTACTGACGTGAACAGTGAAAGGAGCAACACAGGCAAGAAAGAAATGTCGGCGCTTTTATGGAACCGTGCACTTTGTCCGCGTTTTTCAAATAAGTGAATCCTCGGGCCACAATTAAACAAAGACTTCCACGTGTAAGACGCAAGAGAAACTGTATGTGATTGTAATACATTGACCACTATCGTTCGAGTACATTTACATGTAAAAAAAAAAAAATTATAAACAATCGACGATTTTTTTTTTCACGTTGTTTATTTGAAGGGGAAAAAGTTCGAACTGTTTAAGTCGTAAGCTTGTTCCTTCTATATGCAGTAATCTAAACCTTAGCGGTCATTTGGGTGTATGACACAAAGTTTAAGAATAAGAGGTCATACCTCAGAGGTTGATGAAACCATTGCAGTACTCGTATTAGTCGGAGAAAGGAAGAGTGATCACTCGCACTGGCGAACCCGACACCGAGTCCACACTGACTCCGCCGACACCGCCCCACAATGTTGTGGGGCATCTCAAGAACCGGATCCTTTAAACGACCCTTTGTGGTTGTGGATACGGGGTCCGAAATGTTTACCAGCATCTTTTCGCTTATTTTAAACAGTATCATTCTGCAATAAACTCCCCATGGACCACCAAGGGGGCCCCAGTACAAAAGGGAAAACCATGGCCGTCCCTCCATTGAGTTTCAATTAGTTGAGACATCAACGGGACCGCCAACGTCGACGGCTTCGCACCCTCCGTGACGAAGGACATGGAAGGCCGCGTTACATCTTGTGCTTTGGCACGCGCTTACAAACGCCAGTTTCTCTAGAGACCGGAACTTTACAACATTCCCATCTCCCCGCTGAAAAACAAAATGAAAGGAGACGAGAAGGCCAATGCGCCAACGACCCTTTTCAGTACTCCTTCTGATTTTGGTCAAAGATGTCTTATAAATGGAAAACGACTAACCTTTTTTCAAAAATTTCCAGGATCCAGCACGGGGTTCCCTGACAACACTGGGGCCCGGGGCTGCAGCCCCCTTAGCCCGTACCTTAATCCGGCCCTGCCCTCTCTGTTGTAGCTCGCTCCTTGTTCGACTTTTCGTGCTTTCGCTCAACTATGTCTAAGCAACCAGCTTTTTGCATTTCGATTTAAAGGGGCCCTGCAAGAACTTTTTACTGCTTTTTTTTTTTTTTTTTTGCACCGAACCTGAGCGCGCTGAAGTAGTAACTTAATGAAACTTTTCTTTTCTCGAATGTCGCTTTATTTTAAAAGTTATAGGCAAATTAAAATTACAAAAACAAGCGAAAAATAGCCTCCTTCATGACGTCCCATGGTTGCTTCAGTAGCCGTGAACTAGAGGAGGGGTAATGAGCTCAGCGAGCGCTCATGGCTGCCGCAGTCCGTGTCGACGGCTCGAGAGCGCGTCACTAAAGCACGTTCTGGATAGGCTGTATGAAGCGGGCAGCCAGGGCGGCTTGCATTGCATTTGCTGCGCGATTAAACATTAATTCGGCATGACACTTCATTGGCCACAAACGACAGCAAACACGGGGTAAAAATCAGTTCAGAACGGGAGCCACTTCGCGCTGCCATACCTCCAAACGGCCAAACCGCAAGCCAAAGCTGCTCGCCGAAGGCCTTCGGAACGCTCAGAACCGGTCGGATCCTCGACTGCAGCACCGCCGCGTACATCCGGGACCTTTCTGTGCTGCCCGCTCGTCGGTGCCTGATCCCACTACACCTTTCTAGTATGCACCGCCTTTTCCACCGCTTGGTGGTGCGTATGTCGACGGGTAATTTCTTGTTTCCGCACTCTATAAACTGCATTTGTTTTGTCTAAAGTACTGAACAAAAACTACTTTTATAAGTAATGGAAGCGGCTCGGCGCCACTTATATTTTGCATTTCGACTAAAAAGAACCTTTTAGCGGCTCTGACCAGTAGAAAGGCTACGACCTAAAACGTCACGATGTCGTCACATATTGCGCGCTTTCGGCACCGCGGTCGGGTCCGGTTAAAATATGACGCACTGATATTTAGTTACTCTCTCCGTGCCCGCAGGTTTGCTCGAACCCCAGGAGCCGTACCAACCCCAAAAACGTTAGACGCTTAAATACGATTGCAGAGCCCTTTTAAGTAAATTGCGAGTCAGCACTTTTTGTGTGTGTGCGTGTGCGTGTACGTGTGCGTGTGCGTGTGCGTGTGCGTGTGCGTGTGCGTGTGCGTGTGCGTGTGCGTGTGCCTGCGTGCGCGTGCCTACATGTGCGTGCGTGTGCGTGGGTGTGTTCTTTTGTTCGTTTGTTTACGAGTCTTAGCCAAGACAAGCCACTAGAATTAGACCCTTTTCAAACGTCCACGCCAACGCCGCAGTGTCCGCCATTGCTTGCTCAGACACTGATCATGTATTGGACACGAGGGCTGCGTCAGCGTTGGGCGACGACTCGGATCCAATCGCGCGCTTCGTGTCCAAGCAGTGGCGAGCATCAAAGTTGCTCGATGGACTTCTGAAAGGAATTGGTTACGTCGTCTCCTCAGGCTTAAAAACGGCCAGAATGAGAGGTCGATCTAGAAAACAGGGCGAGATCATCACTCATGCTTTGTTATTTAAGCGAGGTAAGGCAAGGCGAAGGCCTGCTGCACCATTTATTGCCGATGAACGTGCCTGATAGTGCAGAGACCATGACAGATTTCTTCCGAAGCGAGCGATTCTGGGCGCCGCATGTCTGCCTTAGGAGCCTGGACGTCGCTAAACGAAAACCTTTCAGCCTTTCCACTCTGGTGAAAAAGGGAGACCAGCGAAGCTGTACTGTGGTGGGAATGAAGCGATGGCCGGTCGCAAGTCGGCAAACCAGAGTAGAAAGGC